AACAAGCTCTCAGCCCACGGCTGTCGTACCAACAACATCAGCAGCAGCAGCAGCAGCAGCAGCAGCAGCAGCAGCAGCAGCAGCAGCAGCAGCAGCAGCAGCAGCAGCAGCAGCAGCAGCAGCAGCAGCAGCAGCAGCAGCAGCAGCAGCAGCAGCAGATGGTATCAGTACCCTTCCAACCCCCTCCTCCTTCAGACCAAGAAGACCTGGCTCGCCTGTTCGCAGCAGCAGCAGGCTTTGGAACCTTTTCCAGCAAGAGCATCAACACAGCAGCAGCGGCAGCAGCAGTGGCGGCCGCTGCTGGTTCAGTGGGCAGGGAGCCGCCCTCCTTTGGTGCCGCATCCGCAACAGCAGCTGCTGCAGTGGCAGCAGCAGCAGTAGCTGCCGGAGCAACGGGACCACCTCCTGGCGCTGGCGCTGCTGTTGGTGTTCCTCCTGGGCTGCTCTCATCGAGTGTGCTTGCAGGCATCGGCAGCAGCAGCAGCGCCGGCGGCGGTGGCGGCAGCAGCAGCAGCAGGCCCGGCAGCAGAATGGCCAGCCGTCACAACTCGTTCTCCCTTGCCGCCGCCGCCGCTGCTGCTGCTGCCGCGGCTGGGGGAAATTCAGCAGGGCCACACCAACAAGCACCTGGCTCTTCTGCTGCTGCTGCTGCCGCTGCTGCTGGTGGTGCTAGTGCTGCTGGTGCCGGCACTGCTGCTGGAAGCTTTGGTGTCCCTCTGTCGCTGCCACTCAGTCGGCAGAGCTCCCTTGGAAGGAGGGAGAGGGGAAGGGAGAGGGAGTGGGAGAGAAGTGAGACGCGCAGCATGGGCAGTGGGATGAGTGTGGCAGGGCACGCAGACGGGGAGATGATCCCAACCTTACTCATGTCTCCTTCCAGGTACGCTCCATGTAACAGCTTCCTTTGACCGTCTCTGCCTCTACATTGCTGCCCCTGCTTTCTCCCACCATGAGCTTTCTCCCGTGCCTGCATCGCGTGCAACAACCAGCACCCATTGCTCACAGCAACCCCCTATCCCGCCCATGCGTCCCCACCCACCATGGCAGGGTGGTGGCGACGAGGTGGAGGCAGAAGACGGACCTGGACTCTCAGAACGCGCTGCTGCTCTTCTGCTGCTACGCCGTCTTCTCCATGCTTGTCTCCTGCACCATCTCCATCTTCGCCCTCCTCAACGTACTCACTCACTCCCGAGTCAACTCAGAAACAGATCCGCCTCGTGTTGATGCTTTCTAGTCACCTTGACTCCTGCAACGTTTCCATGTGGTTCCTACTCAGCGTATCCACCTTCCTTCCTTCCCTACTGCCTTTTCTCAACCTCCCTCTCCCCCCTTCCTTTTTGGCGCTCCGTCCCAACCTCCGTACCATCCCCCTTTCCACACCTCTTTCCGCGTACATGCATTTTTGGAACAAACCTGCAGTCATTAATCCCGAATACGTCCTTCTCAATTCCACAACCTTTCTCATCACTTCCTTCCCACCTTCCTCCATCCTAACCCACCACCCTTTCGACCCCTGATGCCACCCTTTCCACTCCCCATTCCACCCTTTCCACCCCTCCTTCCACCCTTTCCGCCCCTCAGGGCGGTCGTCTGGAGGGGCACTTGGCGCTGCTGCTGCTGCTGATGCACGTGCTGCTGTCCTACAGCCAGGGCGCCGTGCTCTTCCTCGCCTTTGGCATGCATGCCGGGCTCGTGCTGCCTCTCGTCGCTGCCCGCGAGTGGTGGCGCAAGCAGCGCCTCTCCTTCCTCGGCGAGGTCTGTCGTGCGCTCTTCACATCGCCGCTCCGCTCTCGCTTCTGCTCTCGCTTTCGTGCTCTCTCTTCTGCTCTCTATCCTGCTCTTGCGTTTCCCCTCTCTTCCCATCTCTCTGTTCAAATCTCATCCCCCTCACGACCCTCCTTCCCACACCCATCAGGTGTCTCCATTCTTTGTGGACGAGTGGCAGTACCTCGCTCCAGACGACGACTACCCCATGCCGGGTGCTACCCATTCAAACAGCATGATGCTCGCACGAGGCTGGTCCATGAACCCAGCGCAGCTGCAGCTCTTCCCCCGGGACTGGGACCTCTACTCCCGGGGATGGGAGGATGCAATGAGTGTGAGGGAAGACGGCATGAGTGTGCGTGATTACTATCCTTCGTATCCAATCGATGAAGGGGACGAGGATACTGTGGTGAGTGCGGATGGCAGAGGGGATGATCAGATGGACCGGGATGATGCAGAGACTGTGGTGGAGGTCACAGAAGACTCAGTTTTCTGATACAGGACAAGGAGTTATGTCTGGTTCAAGTTGCTCGTGAGGTCCCTTGGGGAATGCTATCAATGGAACGGAATTAGGATGCAATTATTTATGAAGAATTACCTGGGATGAAAGTGTTATTAACGACTGAATTTATGGAATGAAAGGACTACAGATGAAATCCCAGACTCCTTACAAGGACATCACATTTTTGTTTTGCGGTTTTAGACCGTATCAACATAAATTGTTAAAAAAATCACACTGTGGCAACAACTAGTATTTGGGAGTGTGGATCTTGTAGAGAAGTTGGAAGGAAAAACCCGACTGGTTGATGTGTCACGTGGCTTGCAAATGATTTGCGAACTCTTCTACTGGCTACTGCGTCTTGCTATGCTCTTGCTCATGCCTAGCGAAGGTAAATTGTTTCGCGAATTCGACAGAGCACCTTACCCGCCTTTGTGATGTCACAACAAACCTTCGGCACGGTTCGCTCGTGGCTTGCATCAAGCAGGTTGGTTACCTCTCAGATCTCCCCCGTTTCGCGCCTTCACGCAGCATATCCCAAAGCTGCCCGCGTGGGCCAATTTTGCACTAGATATCCGGGACGAGCCGCCGATGTCCCTTTTTCTACTGGTCTAATCGTCACCGAACAGTCAAACCGAACCAATTTCTTGATCGTCCACACCACGCCACCAAACGTCATTAGGTACTTTCTGACCAGTGACACGCCAGATCTACTCTGACTCCTCCTGACAAACCACTTATCTCTTGGGACCACGATCTCACACTTCCTCGCCCAACCTCTCGTGTTCCGCCCTCTTCCTTTCCCGCCCATTCTTGACTGACGTGCCCGCTTCGGCGGTGATCAATTGACAGATGGTTGGCTTGGATCCCCAAAGGAGGTTCCTCCGCACCATCCATCGTGACTGCTGGAGTGTTTTGTTTCGTTGGGTTGGAGGGAGCCCAAAGCAACCACTGAGAGGCCCGCCAAATCCTTTTTGTATGATAGCTAGGCGTGGTAGCAGGTAGGTTGTGCCCCTCAAACAAATTCACCGTTCCGCTCCCGACGGGATCGCGGGTCCAGACATGCCCTGCTGTGTCTTTCGCCTCTCCCCTCTCTTGTGCTTTTTTCACTTCTGCTCCTGTAGGTGAGTTAAGATCCTTGCGCAGCCACAGAACTAGCTACGCCATAGTAGCTACGTGCTGTGGTACACCTCCCGTAGGCACACCAGCCCTGGGTGAGAAATCGACAGATCGACAGAGATTACGGGCAGCGGAAGGCGAAGCCGAAAAGGAGCAGAAGGAGAAGGAGAGGGAGAAGGAGGAGGAGTCGAATGGCCGAGACAAGACGGCCATCCCCCCATGGGGGACTCTTACGGCTGCTGCTCGTGCTGTGCGCCACAGTCGCCGCCAACGTCCTTCTCTCAAACGCAGCCACCCAAGAGGAAGGTATGCGTGCGTGCACAGACTGCGAGGACGTTACGCTTAGGCGTTTCGAGCGCTTCGGAACTGCTGCCAGCATCCGCATGACCACGCAGCGACGACGGAATAGGAAGGTAAGCCCTCAAAGAAGCGGCCAGGGAAACAGCATACAAAACCGATCAAGTTTGTAAAACATACGAGTAAGAGGATAAACGTCGCGTAAACATCTTAAGGTTTCAGAATACGTCGAGATAACACTGTTTCATGCGAGAGACGCTTGCCCCGACTCCCTGGGGCGGCAGGTTAGTCGTCCCAGTCGGGGCCTTGTGATCCAGTTAACGCGAAGCGACACACCACGTGCGGGCCTTTGAGAGTTCAGTGCGCGGGCGGGATCCAAGGAGGGTTGCGCGTGAATACGAGCAAAGTTATATGCGTGACCGCGAGCAAAGAGCCCCGTTATACGGGATCCCCGCCTTATGATGAGATCTCCGTTACTTGTCCCCTGTCCTTTGCGCTCGTCCCTGAACGTCCCTTCGTCTCGCTAGCCCAACGTTTTCACGACAGGCTTTCTGTCGAGTCGCACGCAAGCTCGGATGCGTTGCTGCATTCGGCACCGCGCAGTAGTCCTAAGCAGCTACATTCTCTTGATCGCAAAGAAAGCGTCCTCTCGGCTCGTGTATCGTCAAACCCCTAGCTATCCATGGCCGTCCGTAGATCGACTATCAGTCGACTCATAACTGCCACAGGCCGCGGCAGGGCACAGCTACCCCAAGTGTGACATAACTGCCAGTGCTTGCTAGGGACTGGCCAGGCGCGGTCAGCCATAGCGCGGCTAGCCATGGCGCGGCTCGCATGGCTAAGTGCGAATGTGGCAGAATAGCTGTGCGCGCGAGCCTACACACGGCTCCCGCGGGGAATGGGAACCTCATAATGCGTGTCTCAAGTCGCAGTTTCTCCCACCCACGGTAGCGAGTTCCTGACGTCCCTCGTTCCTCTCCTCACCCATCTCCGCCAGTCTCCCCTTCCCCGCGTGCGGGTTCCTACCTCGTTCTTATACCTGTTGTTTGGCCCTCTCTCTCTCTCCGCGTGTGCCGTGTGCTGCTCCGCGTGGGTGCGCTTTGCTCTCCTCCCCTTCTCCCCCGCTCGGCGCGCAGTGGCGGCGCTGAACAAGATGAAGGATACGCTGGGCCCCGCGAACCTGTTCGTGGGGTGGGTGGGCGATCCGTGCACCGGCATGTGGCTCGGCGTGATCTGCGACGCGCCGCAAAACGTCATCGGCATGTAAGTAGCGACACGTAAGCATCCTAACGTACGCAGCGACACGTGGTCTTCGGGTTAACTGATGCCCGCACAATGCGGCGTATCCTGTAGCCTGTTACGCCTGTCTCCCCCCTCCATCTCCTCTCTCTCCTCCTCTCACTTCCCCTTCTCCTCCTTCTCCGCTTCTCTCCAGCTTTCTCCCTATCTCTCCCTCTCACTCCTTCACCCTCCCTCTCTCTCCCTCTCACTCCTAAACTCTCCCTCGCTCTCCCTCTCTCCCCCTCCCTCTCCCGCTCTCATCAGCAACTTCGAATCGCTCAACGTGGACGGCACGCTCGCCGATGACGTCAGCCGCCTCACGTCGCTTCAGATCCTGTACGTTCCTTTTCCACCCCTCACTGATCTGACGGTATCCTGGTCTACCCTCCCGGCTTTTGACCCCCCCACCCCCCCCCCCTCCCCAGCTCGTGATCCTCTCTGCCCATGTTTTTCGTTACTCGCTTCTCTCCTTCCCCGCACCCTCTCGCGCCCACCTCTCTCCTTCTCTCTCTTCTCTACCCGCTCCGTCCCCTTGCGCCAGTCTCCGTTTTCCCCCCTCCTTGCGATTGCGACTCCTCATTCCGTGTCCAGCAGTTACCAGCCTGCTTGTTCTTGTTTCTGTGCGCACGTTTCCCTCACGTCCCTGTGCGTGACTCTCCGACTGACTCTCTGCTTTTCCACCCGTTTGTCCCTCCGCGCGCGCCTCCTCCGCGTGTGCGCGTGCGCGCGCGCGCAGCAACCTGGCGAGCAACCAGTTCACGGGGAAGCTGCCCAAGGCCATCAGCACGCTCACCAACCTCCAGCACCTGTACGCGCGCTTCCTCCCCGCGTCAACTGCGCGGAGAGGGGGAAAAGGGGCGAGAGGGCGGGGAAGAGGGGGGTGGGTTTGGGAGAGGGTGAAAAATGGGTTGTACGGGATATCGGAGGGGGAAAAGCGAGAAACGGAGTGGTCGGGTCCGGTTTTTTTAGACACGATGTTGCGTGCAGTGGAGAGATGGAGAAGATGAGACGTGCATGGAGGCTGGGTGTGTGAAGCTGGCTCTCACACGTTCCCCACCGTGCTGTTGCTCCGTCGCTTCCTACGGCCGCCTCGCTTTCTCTCTCTCTCTCTCTCTCTCTCTCCTCTCTGTCTATTTACCGTCTAGACGTTTCCACGCCAGCGCCTGAACGCATCACCCGCCCTCGTGTTTCCGCCACCCGTCCACTTGTCCGTGTGCATGTGCGTGTGTGCGTGCGGCATGGACCGCAGCGATGTGAGCAACAATAAGTTCGAGGGGAAGCTTCCTGACGCCTTCAGCCAGCTCACCGCCCTGCGACACCTGTCAGTCCCGCCAGCAGCCTCTTACACCACTCTCTCCTCTCCCTCTCCCCCTCTTTCTTCTTTTTCTCTTATCTCCCTCCCTCCCATCCCTCGCTCCTCTTACTCTCTTTCCGCGATTTCTGGTGTCTTGTGACCTACATTGCCTGTTCGCCCTCTCCTTCCACACTCACTCTCTCTCATCCAAACCCCGTCCTATTCCACGCGCTTCTCTCCGTATCCTTTTCCCGCGAACAACCCCGTTTCCCTCCTTCGCGCCCCGCATCTTCTGCGTGTCTGTTTGCTGCCGCGTGCAGCGACGCGAGTCAGAACTCGTTTGTGAGCGAGCTCCCCGCGTCTCTCAGCGCGCTCTCGAGCATCACGTACATGTGAGTCACGTAGATGAAACGCGGTGCGGTACGTGAGAGGTAGAGGGATGAAACGCCGTGACGTACGTGTGAGAACGATGAAACTTGGTGCGGTACATAGGAGAGAGATGAAACGCGGTGCAAGCACACGTCAGCGTCACGACACGTGGTACAGCCCACGGAGTAACAAAGAATAACAACCTTCCTCCCTGTCCTCTCTCCCCCCTGCCTCCTCCCCTTTCCCTCCCGATTTTCCCCTCGTCCCTCCCCCTTCCCGCTCCCCTCCACCCGTCCCGCTCCCGTTCCCCCATGCTCACCCTTCCCCCCCCCCGCGAGCAGCAACCTGGCGAAGAACAAGATAACGGGGTCGCTGCCCGACACCCTCACGGGTCTCAGCGAGCTCACCTACCTGTACGCCCCCCCAACTCGCGCCAATACCCCTCATGTCCCTCCCCTCGCGCCAATGCCCCCCACGCCCCTCCCCTCGCGCCAATGCCCCCCACGCCCCTCCCCTCGCGCCAATGTCCCCCATGCCCCTCCCCTCGCGCCAATGCCCCCTACGCCCCTCCCCTTGCGCCAATGCCCCCCACGCCCCTCCCCTTGCGCCATGCCCCCCACGCCCCTCCCCTTGCGCCAATGCCCCCCACGCCCCTCCCCTCGCGCCAATGTCCCCCACGCCCCTCCCCTCGCGCCAATGTCCCCCACGCCCCTCCCCTCGCGCCAATGTCCCCCACGCCCCTCCCCTCGCGCCAATGTCCCCCATGCCCGTCTTATGCCCCTTTTGCCCTCCATGCCCCCTCGACCCCCTTCCCCTTGCTGTCCCTCATGAGTCCCGCTCCCATGAAAAGCCATACTTGTCTGCCGAGAATCCCTCACGCACCTTCCTCCCTATTCCACTCCACCTCACCCTTTCCCCCCTCTCTCCGCTTCTCGCCTCTGCTTCAGCGTCTGATCCAAACGCCTTTCTCCCCTCGTTCCCACGTCCCTTCTCCGTTCTCTTCCCCATCCCCTCTTCCCCACTCCCATCCCCATCTCTTTCCCCTCTCCGCATCCCCTTTTTCGCCCTTCCTCAACCCCGTCCCCGTCCCCCGTCCCCCGTCCCCCGTCCCCATGCGCGCAGGTCAGTGGCGGACAACAGCATGTCGGGCAAGCTACCAGCGTCGCTGGGAACGCTGGCGAAGCTCTCGAAGCTCGACCTCTCCAACAACGCATTCACGGGGGCCATCCCCTCCACCTACTCCGCTATCCCCGACCTCATGTACCCGCCCCCCCGCTTCGGTCCCTTCCTGTGCTCGCGCTCGCTCACACATTCGCGCTCAGGCTCACACTGGCATTCACTCACGCGGGCGGTTGCTTCCTTGCTGTTGCCGTCGTTGTCTCTTGGGCTGTCAGGCCATAGCATGCCATCTGGTTCCCTCCTTGTCCCTAGCCTCACCTCTCCTCCTTCTCCTCCTCCTCGTTGCTTTCCACCTCCCTCTCTCCCTCCTCAATCAAACCATTCCCCGCATTCCCTTCCCTCCACACCCCGCACTCTCCTCCCCAACCGCCTTCCCCTTTCCCCAGCACCGCGGGCACGAGCCTTGACGGCGCAGCAGCGGGCGCGCCAGCATCAGCTGGCGCACCAACAGGGGTAGTCGACGCCCCGCCTGCGCCCGCCCCTGCCCCCATTGCCAGCGCACCTGCACCCGCCTCCGTATCCCTCCCCGCGCCTCCCCCTGCGCCCCCGTCCCTCCCCGCGCCTCCCCTCGCCCCCGCGTCCGTCCCCGCCCCCGCACCAGCGCCCGCGTCCTTACCCGTGGATGCGCCCGCCCCCGCATCCCTTCTTGCGCCCGCCTCATCACCCGCCCCTTCGCCGTTGCTCGGATCCGTCCCCGCGCCCTCCCCCCTCATGGGCTCCCCCGTTCCCGCGCCTTCCCCCTCCCCCTCCGCCGCCCCCCCCTCCACGAGCGCACCCACACCCACACCCGCCCTACTCCCCCCTGCTGTCCGCCCGCCAAAGCACAAATCCCCCCCTCCGCCCAAGGCCTCCCCCCTGCCCCCGTCCCCCCCGCCTCCGTCCCCTTCCCCACCTCCGCCTGACGTTTCCCCGCCTCCGCCTCCCCCTCCGCCTCCATCAGCGCCGGTTGCGTGTGAGGGATGCGGGGAGGGGCAGGTGGGGTGGGCGGAGGGCGCGGAGGGCGGGGGACAGTGCGCGTGTGTGTATCCGCTGCTGTTCACGCTGCGCCTGGGCATGGAGTACAGCCAGTTCACCCCCGAGAAGCAGCTCGTGAGTGCCCTTGCCCTTGCCCTCGCCCTCGCCCTCGCCCTTGCCCCTCGTTTCCGTGTTTTGAGACGTCTCAAAAACTCGCCTGGGCATGGACTACAGCCAGTTCACTGCGGAAAAACAGCTCGTGCGTCCCCCTGCCCCTGTCCTTGCCCTGGCCCCTGCCCCTGCCCTTGCCCTTGCCCTTGCCCCTGCCCTTGCCCTTGCCCTTGCCCTTGCCATGCCCATGCCCGTGTTCGTGCATGCGCTTGCGTTCTCTTGCATGCTACTGTGTGCTCTCTCTCATCCATGGTGTGTTTGCGCGGGTTTGTGTGTGTGTGTGTAATGTAAGCTTGCCCTTCCAACTTGGCCCTCGTCCTCCTCCAACCATCAGCCCCCCCACAACGAATCCCGCTCACGCCTATTCGTCCCGCCCACACCCTTCCTTCCCACACCCCTCCCTCTCCCCACCTCCCCATCCCCCACTGACCCCCCTTTTTCCCCGTCCAGTCCCTGGAGCAGCAGTTGGAAGCTGGCTTTTCCGTGCAGCCAGGGCAGGTGCGCACGCAGTCAAAGCGTGCCGGCAGCATGGTAGCAGACATGGCGGTGGGCCCCGTGACCCCCGCCACCATGCTGGACCAGCCCACAGTGGACCGCGTCACGGGGATTCTCTACGGCTTTTGAGTCGACTCAAGAGCTAACCCCCCACCTCTCAATCGCCCCCACCTTCCCCCCACTCCCGCTACTCCCCCTTCTCCCCCCACTCCCCTCTCTCCCCCCTCCCTCCGCCAGTCCCTGGAGCAGCAGCTAGAGACAGGCTTCTCGGTGCAGCCAGGGCAGGTGCGCACGCAGACAACGCGTGCCGGCAGTGTCGTAGCAGACATGGCGGTGGGCCCCGTGTCCCCCGCCACCATGCTGGACCAGCCCACCGTGGACCGCGTCACGGGCATTCTCTACGGCACCAACGGCAGCATCAGCTTGAGCGGGTTCGGGAATGTCACGGTGGTGAAGCTCGTGCCGCCCAACCAGATCGCACGCCCGGAGGATACTGGTGAGTGCTCTGCCGCTCTTGGATATGTTGTTTTTTGGGGAGGGGGAGGGGGGTTTGTGTGTGTGTGTGTGTGTGTGTGTGTGTGTGTGTGTGTGTGTCTGTGTCCTCTCCCCTCTTTCAGCCCCTCTCCTTGTCTCTCCACTCTCCCCTCTCACCCTCGCCCTTCTCATTCCCCCGCCTCCCATACCCCATCCCCCCATCCCCTCCACGCCCCCCCAGCCCCCCCGCTATCCCCGCCACCAGCAGCACCAGCGCCGTCCTCCTCCTCAGGAGGCTGGTCCATGGCGGCCATTATCGGCGTGGCCGTGGCGGGCTTTGTCGTGGCCGTGCTTCTCGTGGTGGTCCCCTCCCCTCTTCCTGCGCCTCTCTCCTTGTCATTTCACTTCCCCCTCTCACCGTCCCTTTTCTTCTCCCCCATTCCCCATTTCCCCATCCCCCCATCTTCCAATCCCCCATCCCCCCATCTTCTACTCCCCCGCCCCCAGCCCCCCCGCAATCCCCGCCACCACCAGCGCCAGCTCCGTCCTCGTCCTCAGGCGGGTGGTCCATGGCGGCCATAATCGGCGTGGCGGTGGCGGGCTTTGTGGTGGCCGTGCTGCTCGTGGTGGCGCTCGTGGTGCTGTGCATGCGCTGCCGCCCCAGCCGCAAGGACGCGTTCCAAGACGACCTTGCTGACGACGCCGCTCGCCCCGCCTTCCAATGTGAGTGGAGAAAAGCTGAATGGGAGGGAGAGAGGGCGCGAGAGTGGGGTTGTTTGGGGTGGGGTTGCTGGGGAGCTGCTAGGTAGGGAGGGAGTGAGGGAGCGAGGGAGGGAGTGCGTGAGGTAACAAGGGAGGGTTTGTGAGTCGACTCGAGACTCGACAGCTGTGCATGCGCTGCCGCCCCAGCCGCAAGGACGCGTTCCAAGACGACCTTGCTGACGACGCCGCCCGCCCCGCCTTCCAATGTGAGTGTGTGCGCCGAGCCAACCACTCGGTGCGAAAGAGACAGGCCGGGAATGAGCGAGCGGAGAGGGGGGGGTTGTGGCTGTGAAGGAGGAAGGACTGGGCTGTTTTCTAGAATTCTCAACAGAGGAAGGACTGGGCTGTTTTCTAGAATTCTCAACAGAGGAAGGACTGGGCTGTTTTCTAGAATTCTCAACAGAGGAAGGACTGGGCTGTTTTCTAGAATTCTCAACAGAGGAAGGACTGGGCTGTTTTCTAGAATTCTCAACAGAGGAAGGACTGGGCTGTTTTCTAGAATTCTCAACAGAGGAAGGACTGGGCTGTTTTCTAGAATTCTCAACAGAGGAAGGACTGGGCTGTTTTCTAGAATTCTCAACAGAGGAAGGACTGGGCTGTTTTCTAGAATTCTCAACAGAGGAAGGACTGGGCTGTTTTCTAGAATTCTCAACAGAGGAAGGACTGGGCTGTTTTCTAGAATTCTCAACAGAGGAAGGACTGGGCTGTTTTCTAGAATTCTCAACAGAGGAAGGACTGGGCTGTTTTCTAGAATTCTCAACAGAGGAAGGACTGGGCTGTTTTCTAGAATTCTCAACAGAGGAAGGACTGGGCTGTTTTCTAGAATTCTCAACAGAGGAAGGACTGGGCTGTTTTCTAGAATTCTCAACAGAGGAAGGACTGGGCTGTTTTCTAGAATTCTCAACAGAGGAAGGACTGGGCTGTTTTCTAGAATTCTCAACAGAGGAAGGACTGGGCTGTTTTCTAGAATTCTCAACAGAGGAAGGACTGGGCTGTTTTCTAGAATTCTCAACAGAGGAAGGACTGGGCTGTTTTCTAGAATTCTCAACAGAGGAAGGACTGGGCTGTTTTCTAGAATTCTCAACAGAGGAAGGACTGGGCTGTTTTCTAGAATTCTCAACAGAGGAAGGACTGGGCTGTTTTCTAGAATTCTCAACAGAGGAAGGACTGGGCTGTTTTCTAGAATTCTCAACAGAGGAAGGACTGGGCTGTTTTCTAGAATTCTCAACAGAGGAAGGACTGGGCTGTTTTCTAGAATTCTCAACAGAGGAAGGACTGGGCTGTTTTCTAGAATTCTCAACAGAGGAAGGACTGGGCTGTTTTCTAGAATTCTCAACAGAGGAAGGACTGGGCTGTTTTCTAGAATTCTCAACAGAGGAAGGACTGGGCTGTTTTCTAGAATTCTCAACAGAGGAAGGACTGGGCTGTTTTCTAGAATTCTCAACAGAGGAAGGACTGGGCTGTTTTCTAGAATTCTCAACAGAGGAAGGACTGGGCTGTTTTCTAGAATTCTCAACAGAGGAAGGACTGGGCTGTTTTCTAGAATTCTCAACAGAGGAAGGACTGGGCTGTTTTCTAGAATTCTCAACAGAGGAAGGACTGGGCTGTTTTCTAGAATTCTCAACAGAGGAAGGACTGGGCTGTTTTCTAGAATTCTCAACAGAGGAAGGACTGGGCTGTTTTCTAGAATTCTCAACAGAGGAAGGACTGGGCTGTTTTCTAGAATTCTCAACAGAGGAAGGACTGGGCTGTTTTCTAGAATTCTCAACAGAGGAAGGACTGGGCTGTTTTCTAGAATTCTCAACAGAGGAAGGACTGGGCTGTTTTCTAGAATTCTCAACAGAGGAAGGACTGGGCTGTTTTCTAGAATTCTCAACAGAGGAAGGACTGGGCTGTTTTCTAGAATTCTCAACAGAGGAAGGACTGGGCTGTTTTCTAGAATTCTCAACAGAGGAAGGACTGGGCTGTTTTCTAGAATTCTCAACAGAGGAAGGACTGGGCTGTTTTCTAGAATTCTCAACAGAGGAAGGACTGGGCTGTTTTCTAGAATTCTCAACAGAGGAAGGACTGGGCTGTTTTCTAGAATTCTCAACAGAGGAAGGACTGGGCTGTTTTCTAGAATTCTCAACAGAGGAAGGACTGGGCTGTTTTCTAGAATTCTCAACAGAGGAAGGACTGGGCTGTTTTCTAGAATTCTCAACAGAGGAAGGACTGGGCTGTTTTCTAGAATTCTCAACAGAGGAAGGACTGGGCTGTTTTCTAGAATTCTCAACAGAGGAAGGACTGGGCTGTTTTCTAGAATTCTCAACAGAGGAAGGACTGGGCTGTTTTCTAGAATTCTCAACAGAGGAAGGACTGGGCTGTTTTCTAGAATTCTCAACAGAGGAAGGACTGGGCTGTTTTCTAGAATTCTCAACAGAGGAAGGACTGGGCTGTTTTCTAGAATTCTCAACAGAGGAAGGACTGGGCTGTTTTCTAGAATTCTCAACAGAGGAAGGACTGGGCTGTTTTCTAGAATTCTCAACAGAGGAAGGACTGGGCTGTTTTCTAGAATTCTCAACAGAGGAAGGACTGGGCTGTTTTCTAGAATTCTCAACAGAGGAAGGACTGGGCTGTTTTCTAGAATTCTCAACAGAGGAAGGACTGGGCTGTTTTCTAGAATTCTCAACAGAGGAAGGACTGGGCTGTTTTCTAGAATTCTCAACAGAGGAAGGACTGGGCTGTTTTCTAGAATTCTCAACAGAGGAAGGACTGGGCTGTTTTCTAGAATTCTCAACAGAGGAAGGACTGGGCTGTTTTCTAGAATTCTCAACAGAGGAAGGACTGGGCTGTTTTCTAGAATTCTCAACAGAGGAAGGACTGGGCTGTTTTCTAGAATTCTCAACAGAGGAAGGACTGGGCTGTTTTCTAGAATTCTCAACAGAGGAAGGACTGGGCTGTTTTCTAGAATTCTCAACAGAGGAAGGACTGGGCTGTTTTCTAGAATTCTCAACAGAGGAAGGACTGGGCTGTTTTCTAGAATTCTCAACAGAGGAAGGACTGGGCTGTTTTCTAGAATTCTCAACAGAGGAAGGACTGGGCTGTTTTCTAGAATTCTCAACAGAGGAAGGACTGGGCTGTTTTCTAGAATTCTCAACAGAGGAAGGACTGGGCTGTTTTCTAGAATTCTCAACAGAGGAAGGACTGGGCTGTTTTCTAGAATTCTCAACAGAGGAAGGACTGGGCTGTTTTCTAGAATTCTCAACAGAGGAAGGACTGGGCTGTTTTCTAGAATTCTCAACAGAGGAAGGACTGGGCTGTTTTCTAGAATTCTCAACAGAGGAAGGACTGGGCTGTTTTCTAGAATTCTCAACAGAGGAAGGACTGGGCTGTTTTCTAGAATTCTCAACAGAGGAAGGACTGGGCTGTTTTCTAGAATTCTCAACAGAGGAAGGACTGGGCTGTTTTCTAGAATTCTCAACAGAGGAAGGACTGGGCTGTTTTCTAGAATTCTCAACAGAGGAAGGACTGGGCTGTTTTCTAGAATTCTCAACAGAGGAAGGACTGGGCTGTTTTCTAGAATTCTCAACAGAGGAAGGACTGGGCTGTTTTCTAGAATTCTCAACAGAGGAAGGACTGGGCTGTTTTCTAGAATTCTCAACAGAGGAAGGACTGGGCTGTTTTCTAGAATTCTCAACAGAGGAAGGACTGGGCTGTTTTCTAGAATTCTCAACAGAGGAAGGACTGGGCTGTTTTCTAGAATTCTCAACAGAGGAAGGACTGGGCTGTTTTCTAGAATTCTCAACAGAGGAAGGACTGGGCTGTTTTCTAGAATTCTCAACAGAGGAAGGACTGGGCTGTTTTCTAGAATTCTCAACAGAGGAAGGACTGGGCTGTTTTCTAGAATTCTCAACAGAGGAAGGACTGGGCTGTTTTCTAGAATTCTCAACAGAGGAAGGACTGGGCTGTTTTCTAGAATTCTCAACAGAGGAAGGACTGGGCTGTTTTCTAGAATTCTCAACAGAGGAAGGACTGGGCTGTTTTCTAGAATTCTCAACAGAGGAAGGACTGGGCTGTTTTCTAGAATTCTCAACAGAGGAAGGACTGGGCTGTTTTCTAGAATTCTCAACAGAGGAAGGACTGGGCTGTTTTCTAGAATTCTCAACAGAGGAAGGACTGGGCTGTTTTCTAGAATTCTCAACAGAGGAAGGACTGGGCTGTTTTCTAGAATTCTCAACAGAGGAAGGACTGGGCTGTTTTCTAGAATTCTCAACAGAGGAAGGACTGGGCTGTTTTCTAGAATTCTCAACAGAGGAAGGACTGGGCTGTTTTCTAGAATTCTCAACAGAGGAAGGACTGGGCTGTTTTCTAGAATTCTCAACAGAGGAAGGACTGGGCTGTTTTCTAGAATTCTCAACAGAGGAAGGACTGGGCTGTTTTCTAGAATTCTCAACAGAGGAAGGACTGGGCTGTTTTCTAGAATTCTCAACAGAGGAAGGACTGGGCTGTTTTCTAGAATTCTCAACAGAGGAAGGACTGGGCTGTTTTCTAGAATTCTCAACAGAGGAAGGACTGGGCTGTTTTCTAGAATTCTCAACAGAGGAAGGACTGGGCTGTTTTCTAGAATTCTCAACAGAGGAAGGACTGGGCTGTTTTCTAGAATTCTCAACAGAGGAAGGACTGGGCTGTTTTCTAGAATTCTCAACAGAGGAAGGACTGGGCTGTTTTCTAGAATTCTCAACAGAGGAAGGACTGGGCTGTTTTCTAGAATTCTCAACAGAGGAAGGACTGGGCTGTTTTCTAGAATTCTCAACAGAGGAAGGACTGGGCTGTTTTCTAGAATTCTCAACAGAGGAAGGACTGGGCTGTTTTCTAGAATTCTCAACAGAGGAAGGACTGGGCTGTTTTCTAGAATTCTCAACAGAGGAAGGACTGGGCTGTTTTCTAGAATTCTCAACAGAGGAAGGACTGGGCTGTTTTCTAGAATTCTCAACAGAGGAAGGACTGGGCTGTTTTCTAGAATTCTCAACAGAGGAAGGACTGGGCTGTTTTCTAGAATTCTCAACAGAGGAAGGACTGGGCTGTTTTCTAGAATTCTCAACAGAGGAAGGACTGGGCTGTTTTCTAGAATTCTCAACAGAGGAAGGACTGGGCTGTTTTCTAGAATTCTCAACAGAGGAAGGACTGGGCTGTTTTCTAGAATTCTCAACAGAGGAAGGACTGGGCTGTTTTCTAGAATTCTCAACAGAGGAAGGACTGGGCTGTTTTCTAGAATTCTCAACAGAGGAAGGACTGGGCTGTTTTCTAGAATTCTCAACAGAGGAAGGACTGGGCTGTTTTCTAGAATTCTCAACAGAGGAAGGACTGGGCTGTTTTCTAGAATTCTCAACAGAGGAAGGACTGGGCTGTTTTCTAGAATTCTCAACAGAGGAAGGACTGGGCTGTTTTCTAGAATTCTCAACAGAGGAAGGACTGGGCTGTTTTCTAGAATTCTCAACAGAGGAAGGACTGGGCTGTTTTCTAGAATTCTCAACAGAGGAAGGACTGGGCTGTTTTCTAGAATTCTCAACAGAGGAAGGACTGGGCTGTTTTCTAGAATTCTCAACAGAGGAAGGACTGGGCTGTTTTCTAGAATTCTCAACAGAGGAAGGACTGGGCTGTTTTCTAGAATTCTCAACAGAGGAAGGACTGGGCTGTTTTCTAGAATTCTCAACAGAGGAAGGACTGGGCTGTTTTCTAGAATTCTCAACAGAGGAAGGACTGGGCTGTTTTCTAGAATTCTCAACAGAGGAAGGACTGGGCTGTTTTCTAGAATTCTCAACAGAGGAAGGACTGGGCTGTTTTCTAGAATTCTCAACAGAGGAAGGACTGGGCTGTTTTCTAGAATTCTCAACAGAGGAAGGACTGGGCTGTTTTCTAGAATTCTCAACAGAGGAAGGACTGGGCTGTTTTCTAGAATTCTCAACAGAGGAAGGACTGGGCTGTTTTCTAGAATTCTCAACAGAGGAAGGACTGGGCTGTTTTCTAGAATTCTCAACAGAGGAAGGACTGGGCTGTTTTCTAGAATTCTCAACAGAGGAAGGACTGGGCTGTTTTCTAGAATTCTCAACAGAGGAAGGACTGGGCTGTTTTCTAGAATTCTCAACAGAGGAAGGACTGGGCTGTTTTCTAGAATTCTCAACAGAGGAAGGACTGGGCTGTTTTCTAGAATTCTCAACAGAGGAAGGACTGGGCTGTTTTCTAGAATTCTCAACAGAGGAAGGACTGGGCTGTTTTCTAGAATTCTCAACAGAGGAAGGACTGGGCTGTTTTCTAGAATTCTCAACAGAGGAAGGACTGGGCTGTTTTCTAGAATTCTCAACAGAGGAAGGACTGGGCTGTTTTCTAGAATTCTCAACAGAGGAAGGACTGGGCTGTTTTCTAGAATTCTCAACAGAGGAAGGACTGGGCTGTTTTCTAGAATTCTCAACAGAGGAAGGACTGGGCTGTTTTCTAGAATTCTCAACAGAGGAAGGACTGGGCTGTTTTCTAGAATTCTCAACAGAGGAAGGACTGGGCTGTTTTCTAGAATTCTCAACAGAGGAAGGACTGGGCTGTTTTCTAGAATTCTCAACAGAGGAAGGACTGGGCTGTTTTCTAGAATTCTCAACAGAGGAAGGACTGGGCTGTTTTCTAGAATTCTCAACAGAGGAAGGACTGGGCTGTTTTCTAGAATTCTCAACAGAGGAAGGACTGGGCTGTTTTCTAGAATTCTCAACAGAGGAAGGACTGGGCTGTTTTCTAGAATTCTCAACAGAGGAAGGACTGGGCTGTTTTCTAGAATTCTCAACAGAGGAAGGACTGGGCTGTTTTCTAGAATTCTCAACAGAGGAAGGACTGGGCTGTTTTCTAGAATTCTCAACAGAGGAAGGACTGGGCTGTTTTCTAGAATTCTCAACAGAGGAAGGACTGGGCTCATAAACAGCCTACAACAAAGAGGACGGACTGGGCCGGGTGTGAGGACGTCTTCCAAGACGACACCAGTGTCACCTGTCAGGGAGGGGGGGAGGGAGGGAGGGAGGGATGGAGTGGAGGGATCTGGCTGGTGGGGATCTGCAGCTGAGAGGGAGTGAAGAGGGAGGAAGGACAGTGTGAGAAAAACGAGTAGGATGGAGTGGAAGGAGTTTTCCTAGACTGTGTCACTGAATGTGACACTCCTCCTCCCCACTCCCCTCCCCCCCCGTTTCCCCTTCTCCCCCCCGCCAGCATGGGCGAACGGGTCATCAGCCAAGGCGAACGGCGGAGCCTCCTCGCGCAAGTCCCAGGGCGTGCCGCCCGTGAGCCTAGCCGAGCTGCAGATGGCCACGGACGACTTCGCCCCGGACCGCAGGCTCGGCACCGACCCTCTGGGCACGACGTTCGTGGGCACCATGCCGGACGGGCTAGAAGTGGCTGTGAAGAAGATCGAACCGTCTGTAGTGGAAGGGCAATCAGACGAGGACTTTGTGGCGGTGGCGGCGAATATGGCGCGGTTGAGGCACGCGCACGTGGTGCAGCTGCAGGGGTATTGTGTGGACTATGGGGAGCGGATCCTGGTGTTCCAGCATTGCGCTGGAGGGAGTCTGTATGATCATCTGCATCGGAACGATGATGACAGCTCGCAGCTGCTGTCGTGGGACGACCGGGTGGATATTGCGATGGATGCTGCTGAGGCGCTCGTGTGAGTGTGCTGGGGTGCAGGGGAATAGGGGCAGGGATGGGTGGGGATGGGTGGGGATGGGTGGGGATGGGTGGGGAGGGGTGGGGAGGAGCGAGGAGGGGTGTGTATGTGTGTGTGTATGTGGTGGGGCAGGCGGTTTAGTGCATGAAGAGGCAGGAGTTTGTATGCTGGTGAATCGAACCTGCACGAACCGCCCATGGTGCAGCTCCCTCCCACTCGTCACTCTATATACAAACCCTTCCCGCTCCACACCACCCTCCCCCTTCTCTCCCTCCCCACCCGCCTTCCTCACACGTGGATACCCGGCAGGTACCTGCACGAGGAGTGCATGCCGCCCATGGTGCACCGCAGCATCTCCTCGCGCAACGTGCTGCTCGACTCGTCGCTGCGTGCACGCGTCGCTGGAGCAGGCCTCTCCTTCCTCAACCCTGTTGGCACCGACGAGAAGGTACACTTCGCCCCGCCTTGCCCTGCCCTGCCTTGTCCTGCCCCGCCTCATGCTCGGTTGTCCTAAATGCTTTTCCAGCCGCTGTGGCTAATGCATGGTTCTTCCTCCCTCCTTCGCTCCTTCCCTCCTGCCCTCACATCCTTGTTATCCTTGTTATCGCTACAGGCGGCACTTTCTCTCAAACAATCCGATTCCCTCTCTTCCCCCCTTCCCGCCCTTGCCCTGCTCACTCTCTCCCACTCTCGCTCTCTGGCTATCTTCACGTGCCTTGCACAGTCACTGTCAGACCAGCTGGCGGGGGTCTTTGCATACAACGCGCCAGAGTATGCCATGTCGGGCATCTACACAGTAACACAGCCAAGAGTGACGTTGCTTGGCTGCAACCGAGCCTTCTTCTAACCACCCCTCCCTCCCACCCACTGCACCTCCCCTGTCGCTCCTTCCCTCAGTCGCTGTCGGACCAGCTGGTGGGCGGCTTTGCATACAACGCACCCGAGTATGCCATGTCAGGCATCTACACGGCCAAGAGCGACGTCTACAGCTTCGGTGTAGTGCTGCTCGAGCTTCTCACAGGCCGCAAGCCCGTCGACTCGTACGTGCCACCCTCTGAAAGTGTTTGCGGTAGTTGCGTGGTGTGGAATAGCTTTGGTGGGATGGTGGCGTGTGGGGTCAAGGCTTTGGTTTTGCACCTGTGTGGGGAAACGGTTTTTTTGGCCGGGCACCAACATGCGACAGAACCGCCACTCACTCCCCAAGGTGAAGGGTTTTTTTTTGCCCCTCCCTCTCCCCCTCGCCCTCGCTCGCCCTCCTTGGTTCTCCCCAGGTCGAAGCCCAAGGCGGAGTCATCGCTGGTGCGGTGGGCGGCGCCGCTGCTGCACGATGTGACAGAACTGGAGGCCATGCTGGACCAGCACATCTCAGGCCCGCTGCCCGACGTCTCCAAGCTCACCAAGTTTGCAGAAGTCATCACGCGCTGCATCCAGGTCCGTCCTCCCTCCTCTGCATCGGAGTGAGCACACGCAGTGCACTGCTACTCTCTGCTTGTTTCAGTTGTACGTTTTTATGAAGCTTTCTTCTGGCCCCTCGAGCCTCATCCCTGCAACCCTCTCCTCCCTCTCCCACATCTGTCCTTCCTGCTCCCTGTATTCTTTTGTGCTTGCTCATCAGCCTGAGCCGGAATTCCGGCCCCTCATGTCAAAGGTGGTGAACGACTTAAACAAGATCCGGGGGGGATGTAGAGATGATTCCTCTGGTGTATACTGATAAGTATCTGGCCTGAAAGTGGCTGGCTGGACGAGAAACGGAGAGTAAGTCTGCGTGGCATTTCCTTACAGCCTGCATGGACGAGATCCTATGGGCTTCTCGTCAATTCTTACTAGATTAACAAGTTAGTACAGGAACATGTTTGAATGGAAGTGATTTGTGTCTTAAGAGAGAGGGTTACCAAATAGTGGTGCCAGTACTTGGAACTCTGTGGACCGGTAGGCTCCTAGGTGCGCTGTTGTATGGGTTATTGAGATATCTAGCACTGCAAGTGTGTTTTTGCAGCACATGAGCATGATGAAAATATTTGACGTTAAAGATGGTACCGGTAAGTACTATGGGCATTGTTTCAAGTTGAAAGTATTTGTTGGAAACAATCTGTCGATAGGAATCTTGGCATGCTATAGTGCAGGCTTGCTCCTGACACACGACATCCTCACTTGAAAGCAACTCAGGGCCAATCAGCCTCACGGGCGCGAAAGCTCATTTGGCACAGCATTCCACCGACTTGATTGGCGGACAACGAGTGGCGGGCGACAGGTCCCACGACCTTCTGACCCATTTGCGATGGTTGGCGAACGTCACGGCGATAGCACCAGCTTGTTTTGTTGAGACCACGCGAAATGCTGACAGGTTCGCTGGTTCGCCCGAGTCGCTTGCACAATTGCAGATGGAGTGCCCCATTTCGCTGACGACAGCTTTCTTGGGAATGTCCCGTTGCTGATCAGCTCAACCGTTGATCAACTCCCTGCCATTCATCTGCGCGCCTCCTTGCCTCGCCACCACAACCAGCTAGCACCACCCCAACCAGGCCTGTCGAAGTTCCTGGGGCCAACACTTTGAGTCCTGAGCTGCTCGAAGTTTGGCCCTGATTTTCGCGAAGGTGACCGTTTTTTAGCCCTTAACGATCACAGGTGCAGGTCCAAACCAAAACTTGAAAACCGGGCTTCTTTAAAAAATGTACGTGTGCCCTAATTTCACAAAGGGGGATGTCAGCGGGAAGGAGCTTGCAAACGACTATCTGTGAACCTACAGCAGGGGGGGAAGAGGGGTGGGGGAGGGGGGGGGGGGCTCGTAGGGCAAATATCGTCAGCAAAGAAGTCGTTTGAACTATTGTGTACAATCGCAAAGCACTTCCAAGGAAGTTCGTTCTCATGTAGTATTCCTAGTGTGAACCGATGGGGCTGAATCCCACCTCGCCATGTAAGGGTGTCAGTGTCTTGATTCCAGCGTGAGTACTTAGAATTGTGAGGAGTGAACAATGTCTTAGAAATATTTTGCAACCACAGCCATAAACATCAACCCTAGAACCTCCTTTCATACCAAGAAGATAGAATGTGGGAGCGACAGGGATAAGGGTACGGGGTAGGAAGAGTGTCAACTTAGGAAACTCGCAGGGTTACTTGTACTACTCATCCGGGATCTCAGGGAAGGGCCCCAAACCAGCCCTTAACGGATCCGGGTTGAGACCCAAATTTCTCAAAATCAGCCCGTAAGAAAAACGGGCTCCCCTCGAAACCAGCCCTTTGAAATGCCGAAGCTGGCCTGGGGTTCACCCGGAATGTTCAGGGCATTAAGGGCAAATGCCCTTGAATCGACAGCCCTGACCCCAACCCACCCTCGAAAAGGCAGTGAGAAAAAGGACATTATGATGTAACCACTACATAATTGGCTCCTCCCACTACAATTCATTCGGCTTCTCTACTTTGTTCGTTCCGTAATTCCTCTTCCTCAACCCTTCCTTTCCAAGTCCTATGGCGGCAGGCAAGAAGACCTCGAGCACATCATCTAAGAAAACAGCGTCTTCCAATCCAAAACCCGTGCCATGGCGACACGTTTTCGCGACGATTCTGATAGTTGCGCTCTTCTACGCGCCGTTAGTTGCAATCAGTCGCCAGATCATCTTCGGAAGGCGAGTTCTCCCTCGGCCGGCGGCCACTACGCCGGTCGACCAGTTTAGTGAAGAGAGGGCGATGGCCCACGTCACGAAGCTGGCGGGTGATATCGGCGACCGACAGGTGAGAGGCAGCGAGACTTGATCGTCAGCAACAGGTTCTGTGGATGGCTAGTTTCTAATGGGCGACAGCACGTTGTGGCACGCTTTCGCGACGGCAAATTCGGTGTTACGAGGGACACCTAATAAACGAATTCAATCTTCGAGGGAGTTTTCGAAAACAAAGCGTCTATTGATTCTGGGAGTTCACGACCTTTTTGTGAAATTGCAAAAGATACGTTTCTGTAGCTTCATGGAAGGGAAATGAAGCTCGCCTTCTGACGGACCGGTGACTGAAACTCTCAAAATCCAGCAGACAGTCTATCAACACCCGCAGGATGGGGGAAAATGCTATTTGGCTGCGAAACACGGCTGCGATTCACCCACTCGAACGACCGTGTTCAAGCTGGGAGGAGGAGGGGAGGTTGGGGTAAGGGGAAGTGGGGTGGGGAAGGGGAAGGGGAAGGGGAAGGGGAAGGGGAAGGGGAAGGGGAAGGGGGGGAAGTCCGTTTCTGAATTCTGCAGCTCTGACGTGTGGGTGGACGTATTTATCATTGGATGCAGGAGGGCACGCAAGGGTTGGCAGAAGGTGCGAGGTACATCTTGGGCGAGGTTGAGCGCCTGCGTTCCATAGCCAGTCCCCGCCTCCGGTGAGCGAGCCGTTCAACGCTTGTCGCCTGCCCGCATGGGTTGCCTGATCTTGCCTGATTTACCGCTATCATCTCCGTCCTCCGTCTTACCAGGCCCCTTCACTGCTTCTGGTCTGCTCCTTGTCTTCTCCGTGCCTGGTTCATCACGCTTCTCCGTATCTGTTTCTTTCCTCCCGTCCCGCCCTCCCATACCACCACCTGATCTGTGCCTCTGTGCCGCTGTCCTGTCCTCTGTGCGCTCCGTCGCGTCCCAGAGTGGAGATGGAGGAGAGCAGTGTGAGCGGGTCGTTCAGCATGGTGTTCCTGCAGCGCAGCCTCTCCCTCGCCTACCAGAACCTCACAAACGTTGTCGTCAGGTGCGCTCACTCACACCCTCTTCTACCACTCCTGCTCTTCACAACTCCCATCCCATACATCCTTCTGTCCATCCATCCGTCCATTTGTCCGATGCCATTCATCCATCCATCCAGTCATCATTCCCTTTGTCCAACCATCCAATCAAGCGCCCTTCCCGCATGACTCCATCCAACGGTCCTTGCATCTCTCTACCCATATCCATCTCACCTCTCACCTTTCATGCACCCAACCCCCGACTACTTGTCATCACTCATCAGAATTTCCAACGCTGCCACGGATCCAGAGGCAGTCCCTTCGGTGCTTATGAACGGCCACTTTGACTCTGCGCTCGGCTCCCCAGGAGCGGGTGACTGCGCCACATGTGTTGGTGCGCTCTTGCCCTTCGCCTCCTCGCCCTTCGCCTCCTCGCCCTTCGCCTCCTCGCCCTTCGCCTCCTCGCCCTTCGCCTCCTCGCCCTTCGCCTCCTTGCCCTTCTTTCCCTGCTTCCCCTCATTGCTCGCTCACTCACGCCCTTATAGCTGCTGCTTCTGTGTCGCTTTGCCCAACGCACTGGGCCATCACAGGCACGCATGTCCTTCCTATCCATTATTACTTGCACCTATGGCTTATGCCCTTCACCACTTCCCTCTGTTCCCTGACCCCACGTGTCCCTGTGCTGCCCATTCCCTGTACCCCCCCCCCCTGCCTGCATAACTTCATGGCACACCAGCGGCCATGCTGGAGGTGCTGCGGCTGTATGTGGAGGCAGACCGCATGCCCACCGTGCCCCTCATCTTCCTCTTCAACGGCGGGGAAGAGGTCTTCATGAAGGTGCGCTGCTGCCTTCTCGGCCCTGTGCTGCCCCTCCCCTGTACTGTACTGTACCCCTCTGCCACACAGCTGCATGGACGGGCACCAGCGGGCATGCTGGATGTGCTGCGGCTGTATGTGGAGGCCGACCGCATGCCCAGCCCACTCCCACTTGTACGTATTCTTCGTGTTTCCCATCTCCTACCCTCAACTTCTCTTCTGCCCGGTCGCATGAGTAGGTGTCACTTGCTCCATGTTTCCATTCTTGCACATTGCGCACACCTCCCCAACCACTCGCACACACGCTCACACACGCATAGCTACCCAGGTTTGGATCCACAAAAGCACGCTCACCCACGCAGTATCACATTCGCACGCGCTCACTCCATCCCCATGCGTCCCATGTGCCCCCATGCTCCCCCATGCGCCCCCATGCGCCCCCATGCGCCCCCATGCGCCCCCATGCGCCCCCATGCGCCCCCATGCGCCCCCATGCGCCCCCATGCGTCCCCATGCGCCCCTCCAGGCGTCGCACGGGTTCATCACGAGGCACCACTGGAGTGAGACGGTGGGCGCCGTGGTAAACTTTGAAGCCGCGGGAACCGCCTTGCCAGGTGCTGCTGCCACAGGCCGATGCTATGTGTGTGTCTGTGTGTGTGCGCGCGCTTGCGCGTGCGAGTGCATGTATGTACATATGTGCGTTTCTCGTTTGTCCTGTTTTACCTTTCATGTGTGCAACAGCGCATCCATCTCGCCTTACTTCCCTCCGCATTACTCGTCTGCACATCACATCACATCACATCACATCACATCACATCACATCACATCACATCACATCACATCACATCACATCACATCACATCACATCACATCACATCACATCACATCACATCACATCGCATTGCATTGCATCACATCGCATCGACAACATGTGACTCACGTTCACGTCATGGGACCGCCTTCAACCGTGTGCCCTTCCATTCATAAGAGTCCCCTCCATGTCTGCCTCCCCTCCATCCCTCCATCCCTCCATCCCTCCATCCCTGCCTCCCCTCCATCCCTGCCTCCCCTCCATCCCTGCATCCCCGCGTCCCTGCGTCCCTGCGTCCCTCCCTCCGGCCATGTCCATGTGCGGGGCATGGCACGAGCAGAGATGGTGGTGCAGAGCGGGCCTGTGTTCTGGCCACAGCGAGTGTACGGAGAGACAGCCGTCTACCCCTCCTCCAGCGTCGTCTGCCTTGTACGTGCTCCACTCTCATCATCACATACTGTCACTGCCATGCCATGCCACAGCCACTGTCAACATCCCGATTCCCATCTTACCATCATTGCTGTGATGGTATCACCATGCATCAATCCATCAGCCAGCCCACCTCTCTCACATGCACTGCCCAGCTCACCACATGCACATGTGTTGCCCCCCTACCACCATCAATCTCCTTTTCGTGTTGCACGCAACGCAAGCATGCGCATGTGCCTCTGTGAGTGCGGGTGCGCATACAGGCCTCTTAAACCCTGGCCCTTGCCCATGCAATGCACTTGCTTTGACCGCTGCTGCCCCCAACTTATACGATGCGTTTGGTCGTGGGACATCTTCCCGCACATACCAGGCGACTGTTTCTGAGGCACCTAAATACCATGCATGCGTGAATGAAGTTTCCCAATATCCTCTTGGCCCTACTCGTGCGTGCGTGCGTGCATGCATGTGTGCATGCCTGCGTGCGCGCGTGTGTGCATGTGTGCATGCGTGCGTGCGTGCGTGCATGTGGTGCATGAGCAGGACATCTTCCCGCACATACCAGGAGATGACGACTACCGCATGTTCTCACATGACTTTGACGACGTGCCCAGTCTCGACAGCATATACCTGCTCGGCGGAACCTTCTACCACACCTCCCGCGACTCTCCCGAGAATGTCATGTGAGCCATCCATGCCGTTCAGATCAAATCATGTCATATGAGACATGCCATGTAACAGCACTCAAAGAATACCATGCCGTGTCACAGCCTGTTGCATCCTCCTCAGCTGCCTGGCACCCTTCACCCATTCCTCATCATCACTTCTCTCATCCAACTTCCCCCACCCCCCCTCCCCGTCCCTTCTTCCCCGCCCCCCTTCCTCCTCCACTGCGCCAGGCCCGGAGCGCTGCAGCTGCGGGGGGAGAATCTATTGCCACTTCTGGAGGGGCTATCAAGGGCGCCGGAGCTCAAGACACGGGCGCAGAGGCGCATGGATGCGTGGTCCGAACCCCACACTTCCGGTAGCGCTGTTGTTGGCGGGGGTGGTGCGGGCAACAGCACTGGGGCCAGCATGCCCAAGGATATCCCCGTCTTCTTTGACCTCTTCAACATGCGCATGGTGCGTGTCTCTGCTTCCCTGCGTCACGGCTTCCTGTGTCATTGTAACGAGGTGATTTTTAAGTCGACTCAAAAGTCACCTCAGCGCGGGCGCCAGCATGCCCAAAGGATATCCCTGTCTTCTGCGACCTCTTCAACATGCGCATGGTGCGCGTGCTTCCCTTCTCCCTGACCCCTGACCCCTGCTCCCTGCTCCCTTTTCTCTCGCCACCCCGTACTTCCCTCACCCTCAATGTTTCTTTCTCTCAACGCCTGCTGAGACACCTCAAGAAACTGGTCATGCCTGAATGGTTCAGGCACCTCTCTTTCGTTCTCTCCTCACCTGCCCCCGTCCGTCCCTCTCGTCGTGCCCCACCAGGTGATGTACCCGCGGGCAGTGGCAGCAGCCCTGAACGTCATCTTCCTTGCAGCTCTCTACTTCGTGTATTAATTGGACTCAACACACCCCCCCCCCCCGTCCGTCCCTCTCGTCGTGCCCCACCAGGTGATGTACCCGCGGGCAGTGGCAGCAGCCCTGAACGTCATCTTCCTGGCAGCTCTCTACTTCGTGCCCTCCCACACCACTGAGGCTCAGTCCGGCCTCAAGGAGTCCTCGCACCGCTCCCAACACATCCGATCAGGTTGCTTGCCGCTCTAACTTCCTCTTCATCCCTTCGCTGTCCCCTCTGCTGATCTCTCCTCCATTCCATCCACCCTGCCTCCTACTGTTCCCTCCCTCACAACGTTTGTACGGCTGCCTCCTGCTGTTACGGTGTTACTGATACAATCACCCCACTTCTCTCAGCCCGGCTGATCCTTTTGCCTTTCTCGTGCCCCACACACCACGTCACTACCACGTCTCCTCATCCCTAACCCCACAAGGGACATATCTCCCTTCTTCTCCCCACGCCCCTCTCCCTCTTCCTCCCCCCCCTCCCCCCCCCTCCCCCCTACCCCCTCCCCCCTCCCCCCCTCTTACCCCTGCCTCTGCAGCCTTCCTGGCCTACAGCGCCAGCTGGCTGCTGTCTCTCATCGTGCCCATGCTCGTCGCTGCTCTGCGTGTTGCTGTGTCCGGCCGTCCCATGTCCTGGTGAGCGCACGGCCGCTCCATCACAAGTGTGTGGGGTTGGGAATGGTCGGAGACGGTGGTATTCGCACGGATGGGAGTGTGGGGTGGTGGGGAGTTTGGTGCAGCAAGCGCAAGCACAAGTGCAAGCGCAAGCGCACGCTTTTGAGAATTCTCGAGAGTGGAGCTCTTTCCTTCATGAGATGCCATTGAGAGGGGAGATGGGGGAGAAGGAAACACCAGCAATATTCTGCAAAGGGGACTCACTCCACGTATGCATGCTTACGTGCATGGTGAGGTGAGGGCACTGGTGAGGTGAGGGCACTGGTGAGGTGAGGGCACTGGTGAGGTTAGGGCACTGGTGAGGTTAGGGCACTGGTGAGGTTAGGGCACTGGTGAGGTTAGGGCACTGGTGAGGTTAGGGCACTGGTGAGGTTAGGGCACTGGTGAGGTTAGGGCACTGGTGAGGTTAGGGCACTGGTGAGGTTAGGGCACTGGTGAGGTTAGGGCACTGGTGAGGTTAGGGCACTGGTGAGGTGAGGGCACTGGTGAGGTTAGGGCACTGGTGAGGTTAGGGCACTGGTGAGGTCCATGTGGGTGCTTGCGAGCCTGGGCTGTACTGCAACCATGCACACACACATGGATGAGCCTGATGTTGCTCAAGGCTTATCATGCTGTAGCACACATGCTGTAGCACACATGCTGTAGCACACATGCTGTAGCACACATGCTGTAGCACACATGCTGCCGCACATGCTATCAACACTGCACCACCTATGTGAATACAGCCACCAACTCACATGTGAGCGTCCATTTTTCTTTGTCGACCTATCCTACTCGCTCTCTGCCACCTCTCCACCTCTCCTCCACCTCCTTCCCAGCTCCCCTTTGAAGAGGGTGCCACCAAGAAATTCAGCTTCCTGACCGATGTAGCCCTTCTTTACAGCACACATCTCTATCCACGCTCGTACCAATTTCCGCATACATTGATGTTCCGTCCCCTTTCTTCCAACCCCGCCTCCCTCTCCCTCCCCTCCCCTCCCTGCTCTTCCCCACCACCCTTCCCTCCCTTCCCCCCTTTCCGTTCCTCCGATCCCCTCCGCTCCGCTGTCCCTCTCTGAGCCTGTGGCAGGTTCGCACAACCCGTGTATGCGCTGCTGACGTTCATCCCAGCACGTGAAAGAGGGTTGGTTTTGAGATGCCTCAAAATCCCTCCCTCCATGATTCCTCCCTCTCTGAGCCTGTGGCAGGTTCGCACAACCCGTGTATGCACTGTTCACGTTTATCCCGGCAGCCGTGCTTGGGCTGCTGCTGCCACATTACATCCGTGCAGGGGGGTCTCTCAGCAACCCCGCTTCACTCGCCCCCCACCAAGAGGTGTGTGTCCCCCACCTCTCTCCCCCCACCTCTCTCCCGCGACCTCTCTCCCTCGCCTCTCTCCCTTCCTCCTCCCACCTTCCCCTGCTCCGTGTCGTTTCTATTTCTATCTGTTCAAGTAATTGAGTGTGCATGAAGTGGAAGATGAATGGTACACACAAAGAGGCAAGAAATTTCTCCCGCTTTGTGTAAACCCTTCATGAGTAACCGCTCATGAGGTGACTTTTGAGTCGACTCAAAAGTCGCTTGGTGAAAACCCTTCATGAGTAACCGCTCATGAGTGTGGCAGCTGTCTCCTTCCTCTTCCTCATTTGCTGCTTCTTCTGTAAATCACCATCTGCTTTCCATTGTCCTCTCCATCTGCTTTCTGAACCCCTTTACCCCCTATCCCCCGGTCCTGCCCCCCTGCCTGTCTGCCTGCCTGCCTATCTGTCTGCCTGTCTGTCTGTCTGTCTGCCTGCCTATCTTCCTACCTTCCTGTCTGCCTGCCCCCCTGCATGCCTGGTCTTACCCCGTGCAGGTGGCGTTTGTGTGGTCGTCGCACTGGGGATGCCTCTCCTTCAACGTTGGCCTCTCTGCTGTGAGCTCCTCCTCTCCATGAACCAGCCCCTCTTGCGTTCCGAGACATGCACACGCACTCATGCACACATGCTCACATGCGCACATGCACACATGCACACATGCTCACATGCGCACATGCACACATGCACACATGCTCACATGCGCACATGCACACATGCACACATGCTCACATGCGCACATGCACACATGCACACATGCTCACATGCGCACATGCACACATGCACACATGCTCACATGCACACATGCACACATGCACACATGCACACATGCACACATGCACACATGCACACATGCGCACATGCACACATGCGCACATGCGCACATGCACGCAAGAACACAACCCCATATACTTACGTGCACACTTACTTGCACGATGCATACTCACGCGCACATGTGTGCATCCTACTCACAGTTTTGAGCCATCCAATCCAAGTGTGCGCATTTACACACACATGTCAGTTGGATGGCTCAAATCCGTAACACATGCGAACACATGCATGCATCCATGCATCCATGCGGGTCTGCATGTCACTCGTGGAATCCTCCCACGCCCACATCATCACATGGCACACATGCACTCCACACAAAGCTGAGCCCACACACCCCTTCACCACAAACAACTGCCCTCTCCAGCTTTTGTTTTCAATCCACCTCACCCCTATCCCATACCCTCGTGCTCATTCTCCTTGCCTTCAATTTTGTTTACCTCCCCACGCCCCCCCCAACGGCCACATGTCACGCCAGCTGGTCATGCATGGGTTTGGCGGCAGTGGGGGGTTCATCAACTGGTGCTGGGCCTTTGTTAAGGCGCCTCAAAAATAGACTCCCCTCCCGTCTTGGCAACCCCCCCCATGCCTACTTGTCACGCCAGCTGGTCATGCACGGGTTTGGCGGCAGTGGGGGGTTCATCAACTGGTGGTGGGCCTTCTTCATGCTCCCCGCTCTCTTCCTCTACACCTCGCTTCAAGCCACCCTCGGCAAATCAAACCCCCTGTACGAATGAATGGCTCCCGTCACGCCATACTGGATTCACTCCCCTGTTCTTCATCTTTTGATGTTTTTTCTTCCTTTTAGAAGTTGGATGTCTTGTACAAACGATGCTCTCACAGTCTTGTTCCTTGCATCAAAGGGGAAGTGACAAGGGGAGGGAGACAGAAGGTTCTCTCTTTTAAGCTTCCTATCTTCCTAACTCCCAGCGCTTCTTTTCCTGCTCTATAATTGCGATTGCTGCTTCCCCACCTTGCCCGTCCTTCCTGCTTTCAACACCATTCCCATTCCTCCCAAAATCCCACCTCTCTCCCCACCACAACACACCCCTCTATCCTCCCCTCTCTCTCTCCCTTCCCCCACCTCCTCCCCGGCGATCCCGTGCTCGCAGAGCCCTGTTGGGCTATCTGCTGCCAGGGGCCTTCCCGGCAGCATTCTCGACCACCTTTACAGTCTTCTTCCTGCAATTCATGTCTGAGAAAATGGGCGCCACCGGCACTCCGCCCCTTCCCTTTGGTAAGCACCTTTGACCTTTGAGTCGACTCAGAAGCCACCTTTACAGTCTTCCTCCTGCAGTTCATGTCTGAGAAAATGGGCGCTACCGGCACTCCGCCTCTGCCCTTTGTTGTGCACCTCCTCACCACCTTCTCTGCCCCTCATCCTCGTTGCATGCACTTGCTTGCTTCCCCGTTTGCGTGCCTTACCTCTCACTCATACCCTTAACCCTTCCCCAGCCCCGCAATCCAATCCTTCTCCACACCATCAGTTCACGGGCTTCTGTGAAACCCATCCTTTCCCTCGCTTTGCCCCCTTCTTTGTCGCCACACCATCAGGTTCCTTCCTAGCAGACATGGTACTGGCAGCGTGCACGGGCTCCTGTGTGTGTCTCATCACGCCACTCTACACCGCACTGCTCCCACATTACTGCGCACCTTCTGAGACGTCTCAAAATCCTCCTCCCCCCCCCCCCCCCCCCCCGTGCCTGTCACAGCACCATCAGGTCCCTTCCTAGCGGACGTGGTGCTGGCAGTGTGCACGGGCTTATGTGTGTGTCTCATCATGGCGCCCTACGCCGCACTGCTCTCGCGCTACCTCGCGCCTTTTGAGACGTCTCAAAATCCTCCTCCCTTCCCCCCCCTGTCTGTCACGGTGTCACCGCACCATCAGGTCCCTTCCTGGCAGACGTGGTGTTAGCAGCGTGCACGGGCTTTTGTGTGTGTCTCATCATGGCGCCCTACGCCGCGCTGCTCTCGCGCTACCTTGCACGCCCCGCTGTCCTGCACGGCCTCCTCCTCTCCTCCCTGCTCGCTGCTGCCCTCACCTCCCAGCTCTTCCCCTACGACACTCACCACCCCAAACGAGTGCTCATGCAACGAGTATACAGGATGCAAGGTGAGAAATGCGTCTTTGTGTGCGCCGCCCCGAACCGTATTTTGTCGTTTCAACTGGGAAATGATCGGATTTAAACGGCGGTTCTTGAGACTTCTCAAAAGTTCCTAAATTTCTTTCCTAATTCAAACACTCTTCTTTTTTGTGTGTGTGTGTGTGCGTGTGTGTCTTTACTGATTGATTTCTGGTAGCATGGCCACATCACTTGCACGTGTCTCATGATTTGATGCTTCTATCCGCTCCTCGACGTGCAAATACTGTGGCCAACAGGGGTTCCTGAAAACATACATCTGTGCCCTGTCTCCCATCACCCTCTCACTCTTCTCTCACCCTCAACCCCTCCCACCCTTCCCACCCCTCTCACTCTCACCCCTCGCGCCCCCCTCTCCCCTCTCACCCATCTCTCCCCTCTCACCCCTCCTTCTCATCTACCAGGCAGCAAGGCAGTGAGTGCAGAGACCACAGTCGCCACTGGCGATTCCAACGATGCCGTCCCACCCCTCTCACACCACACCCCTCTCATCCCTCCCACCCCTCCCACCCCTCTCTTCATTGGCATCTACCAGGCGGCAAGGCAGTGAGTGCAGAGACCACAGTGGCCACTGGCGATTCCAACGACGCCGCCTTCCTCCTGCACCACGTGCCCCGCCTCGCCCGCTCCCTTGGGATCCCCCCTGCCTCGCACCATCACACCAACCGTACTGCACTTGTCATCGCAAGGCCGTCCAACTTGCTGGTAACCACGCATGCAGTGTGTCCCTCCCTGTTCAGTGTGTATGTCGCCTGACGCTGGATCCCCTGCTGGTGACTCTGCTGGTTTCTTAGGAGGTGGTGCTTGTAACTCTCTCATTTCGCATCTTGCGCATGGTACAACTCTCTTGTGCTGCGATAAAAGTACCAGCTTCTCTCTCTTCTCTCCCATTCCGCAAACCTCCACCCCGTTATTCCCTTGCAGCCTCTCATCTCCATGATTTCTTCATCTCCATGATCCCTTCATCTCCATGGTTCCTTCATCTTCATTCTCCCTCCCTTTCTCTCCTGTCTCCCATCAGGGAAACCCAGTCACATCCCCCGTCGCACACCAGCAATATGTGAACTCAAACTAAATCTTGGAGCTCCGTTTCCCCTCCCCCACTGTCCACCCACATTCCCCTCCCAGGCCCTGTACCCAGTCTCCAGCCTTCTAGACCGCCCCTTGACCTTCCCCGCGCCTCTCTCCCCTCGCTTCGAGGACCCGCACTTCCACCTGCCATCTCTCCGCCTGCTGCGCCAGCACACCTCCCTCTCTTCACAGCAACTGGGTGTGGACGGCGAGTGGCGAGGCGGGAGGAGCTTAGAGGAAATGGATGAGAGGGAGATTGAGAACTATGGGATGGAGCTGGATGGGGAGGGGGAGGGGGGAGGAGCAGGTGCAGTTGCACAGAGGAAGGGGGGGAAGAGGCGGAGGATTCACCTGAAGCTCGCAGCAGGGTGAGTGGATCAGCCTGGTGGTTCATTTCAGTGTCTGCTTCGTGAAGTACTGGGCTGTTGGAGGCATGGAGTGAGAGGAGAGCGGAGGGACGGGAAGGAGGGAAAAATGGTGGGGGTGAAGCAGCAGCGCGTTATTATGAGACGAGAGTTGGGGTGAGATAGCCATGAAACGGCACGTTATTTCTCCAGTTTCCTTCCAGACACCATTGGTGGTCCAACCCACTTGAACCCAGTTCAGTGTCATTTCATCCCCATCGGGCAGACGCTACCCCAACCCATCTGAACCGCACTCCCTGTGTCTCTCTGCTCCACCTGTTCCTCTTGCATGTGCAGGTCGCTGTCGCACGTGTGGTCTGCTGTGCTGAACATCACTGGCCCTGTCACTGCCTGGTCCCTCACTCCTACCCTCCCAGGTACGCTCACTCTCATAGCTCACTCAACCTCACCCACCATCCCGTGCTGCTCACCCACCATCCCGTGCTGCTCACCCATCTTGCGGTAATCCCCACCGTGCTGTGATCTCCCTCCCTAGCTACCTGCTGCCCGTGTCGGTGCCACACACACTTGTCCATCTTTCTCTCTTTCTCCCCCTCATTGTATGTGCCTTTTCGAGCATCCCCATCGGCCACTGTGAGCATCATCATGCAAACAATCCCTGCCCTGTTATCCCCTCATTCCCTCTACCACTCGACGTCTTCCATACACTCCCCCACCCTCACGACACTCGTTTCCTTCTTTAAACTACTGCGTACACCCCCATACACTACCGCAGACTTCCGGCTCCGTAGCAAGCTTTGTGCTACCTTAAAACATCTGTCTACATCTGAGATCCCTTGCTTATTTCCCTTCATCACCTGTGACCCCTATCACTGCAGCGCGGGAGAGGGTTGCAGGAGGGCCACCGTCTCTCATGGTGCATTACTCGGGCGCATTCCCCTGGCAGCTCTGGCTTGAGGTGAGCTACCTGCTACTTTGAGTCGACTGAAAAGGGCCAATTCTTAGTCCCTCATGGTGTATCACTAGGGTGCATTCCCATGGCAGCTCTGCTTGAAGTGGGCAAGTTGCTGCATGCTGCTGCTGCTTTCACCCTCACTTTCCCCCCTGCAAGTCTGATAACTTCCTCTCTAGGCAAACACAAAATGCCTTCACCACCCACCCCTCCCCTCTCACAAGCCATTGCATGTTACAAACATGCAGAGGTGCACTAGGTGGTATCCTTATCAGGCATCCGGCTGCACAGCTTCTGCTCGTTATCAGAATCTTTCCCTCACTACCGTATTCCAACTCTCCACATTCAATCATATCCACCCTCCCCTGCCATCATGGCGTTGCAGGTGAAAGGGCGGTGCAGTATACATGTTGATCTGGCTGTGCTGGATCATGAAATGGATGTTGATGTGGCACAGATGAAGAGCCTCTTGCCAGACTGGACTGCTCCGATAGTGTCCTCTTCTTATGTTGCCCATTACACATTCTAGATACTGGTGCACTGCAAGCAGGGCTGACTTTTCGAATAAAACCACTCTGATTTTTTTGGCCCCCCAATTTTTTTTAGTCTGAGGCCCATTTTCCAAAAAGTGAATACTCTGATTTCTCAGGAACCAGAGAAGTATAACTCTGAAAATTTTATAATTCAGAGACTAAGGCAGGTTTTCCTACTAACGAACCTTTTGCACAAGTTCGGAGGGATGGGTTTTCCTCGAAGTAACAGGTATGGCGAAGGGGAGTTCGTACTCTGTAGTATGATAACTCATTATCCGGTAAGCAAGTTCTCTGAATTTTTCAGTATCGAAAAAACCATTAGTCTGAAGCACTCATTTTTCAAAACCAGCCAACTCTGAAAAATCAGGAATGTCAGGAAAATAGTCTGAAATTTCAGACAATCAGACTAAAATAGTCTGATATCGTCAGCCCTGACTGCAAGTACCGTAGTACCAGCTTACGTTAAGGTTGCCGTGTTATAGTGTGTACAGAACACGCATCCCTGCAGAGTCACTCCTTATGCTGATGTATTGCATGTTTAACAGTATAAATCAATACCACACAATGAGAATGTGTCTAGGGAAAAACCATTGCACTGCACTGAAACACACGAAATTGCACACCAGGCACACCTCGTCACAAACATGGGTGGTTCATTTGAGTATCAGATGTTGCTGATTGCAATTTCGTGTGTTTCCGTGTGGTTCAATGCAAGCTTGACAAGAGGTTCGTCCAGCAGGAGGTCATAGGAAACAGCATACTCAAGCCAAAAACATAATCTTCTAACCATATCAAAATACACTCCCAAAATTGTTAGCGCCCTAATCAACCAAGTCTCTTCATTCTCTATCTAAACTCAACCATCACGCACTACCCATGTACGGTATCTACGGTTGTACTACCCTACCCTGCTTAATCAGTCTCTTCTGCCTTTAACCCTTACCATTGTAACGCAATCCGAGACACATTCAACACCCGTGTACTCGTGCTGCTGCTGAAGGCTCACTTGCGCTTGCCTGCTCGCTTGCCCTCGCCCTTCTTGGGCACACCCTTGCCTCGTCTCTTCATGCGCTCTATTTTGAGCACTCGCCTGGCAAAAGCCACGCAGGGGAGCGTGGTGGAGAGAGGGCGATGGGGAACGTGGGTGGTCGGGAGCAGGAAGGGGGGGAAGGAAGAGGGGAGAGTGGGGTAGGGAAGTAGGGAGGAGTGGGAAAGGGAGGGAGAAAAGAGGTGGTTCAGGCGACTACCACATCTAAGGCAGATGTGTATGGTGTTGAGTAATTGTGCAAGAGTGAGAGTGCATCCATCTCCGTGCATGAAGGTGTGGTGTGCGCGTATGTGTGCGTGTATAATGAAACAAAGGAGGGAGGATGGAAAGAGGGGCGATGAGCATCCAAGTCCGGAACACAGGAGAAGTACACACGGGGTGCAGAGGTGAAGGGAAGAATGCACGGCAAGCAAGACGTGCTCGCAGTCGACTCATCACACAAGAACGCGGCGCGACGGAACTCGCAGAAAGCAGCAGGCACGGGAGGAACACGCGGGGAGCAACTGGAATGATCCTGGATTGGTGGAGTGGACGCGAGGCGGTGGCGTAAACGGGCAGAGTTACGAGGGAATGACGCGGAGAGGAGTGAGCCGGAGGACGCGGAGACGCGGAGACGCGGAAGCAGGCTGGGGAGAGCTCATGGCCCACCGGACACGTCAATCGCATATACTCGACACCGTTCCGCGCCGCAAACGCTTCTCACGACGAGAAGAGGAAGCAGCGCAGGAGGAAACTTTGATTACTTGGGCTCGGTAGGGTCGACGTAGAGCGGATCCATCTTCTGCACGGGCTCCGGGTACCACGCGACGACCTTGTCGCCGATCAGCTTCTGGCTCAGCACCTTGTGCCCCGACCGCAGCCCGTTGCCGATCACGTTGCCGAATATCCGCGCCGATGCCTCCGCCACGCCCCGTAAATGCGCCATGGCGCCGCGCGGTTGGGGATGGGAAAGAGAGACGGGAAGAGGGAATGTGCGGGGATGGGTTGGGGCAAGGGGAGGAAACACGGAGCAGAGGAGAGGGGGTGCGGCTACAAGGTGACGGGCGCGCTACAGGTTGCGCCGTTTTTACTGCTGCAGTACAGTTGCGACGGGTCGGTTATGTCACCTATTAGTTGTGACTTCCCTATTTGGAAAGAGGCGTGCTTGATAAGGTGCGTTGAAGCACGTTCCACATCAGCTAAAACCGATTCTTCTAAAAATAATACAACATATCTTGTAAAATAAGTTATGCATGAACACTTCTGTTAAATAAACTTCTCATTTGAACGATTTGTATTTGTAAGAGATAATGCTGATGTGAACAATTTGTATTTTCCCGGTTGGTTGACGCGGGTGTATTTTGCATATTTGCACAATACGTTTACCGAACCGCTGATTTTGGAGCCGAGGGCATCAGTCGCGGAGTAGCACGGATCGCTTTTTTTGTTCCGAGCGCACGTGCGAAAAGTGGAGGGAAGCCCCCCTACTCCCTCCCCAACCCAACACCATTCGCGCCGCGATCATCCCACAGAGAAATTGGAACGGACAGGAATGGTGTTGTTTTCGTGGGAATGGATCAGAAAGTGGGCTGTTTCGAGGCGACACGAGGTTGAGTTGCCGGCCGAGATGACACGACACCCTGTCTCGTTCCCGACGTGGTCTGCATTCTCGCGTCGCAACGCAATTCTCTTGTCTTGTCCTCCTCCGCTCTCTGCTGCTCCCTGCCCCGTCGCCTCCCTGTCTTCGAGAACGAGCACGCCAAGCAAGGCAAAATACTCCCCAGTGCCGTCCTCATCGAAATCGTGCCGTTCCAGCCGCAGCACGACGACCCAATTTAGGGAAATCAAATTTCGCCGCACGGGGCTTGTGTTCGCGTTCTCACTCTCGAGCTCCACGCACTTCAGGAGCTCGCTTATGACAATCCTCACAAGCCCCGCAAACGCTAAACTCCTGAGGAGTTCAACACGCATCCAGCTCACCCTCTCGCGCCTTGATGAAAAATCACAAGTGAGCTGGGCTCGTCGCGAGAGGCCGCGTGGCGGAAATTCGTCCTGGGGACGAATTCAGCTCGGCGCAACGCGCGGTAGATTTCGGACGTCCCTTTTCTGCCGTCCGACTCGGACTGCCACGCGATGGTCGATTCGACCAGAAATCTGACAAGCAGGCTGGTGGTCTGATTTTTTCGGGTGACGAACAAGGGTACGCCCTAGAAAAGACAATCGAGTCTGCTGCTCCGAGTCGTCCCAACTATCGCAGTCAACCGGACGCCTAAAGCTGCCGGCTATGGCGGTGCATCGCGGCTCCCTGTGCGGTCTCTTGGCGTTCGTTGCGGCGCTCGCATGCTGCTGCCTGCCGTGCACGTCGCTCGCAGTGCCCATTGCTGACTCGCAAGGTGCGTTGATTAAGGGTCCTCATACCCCGCTGTGCGGCTTGCACACTGTGGGGATGCGGCTTGCTAGCGGGGTTACCGAGGCTTGTACGGCGGGATCATGGCACTGTGGCACGCCTGTAGAGAGAGCCAGCCGGCCACCCGGCCAGCCGGCCACCCGGCCAGCCGGCCACCCGGCCAGCCAGCCACCCGGCCAGCCAGCCACCCGGCCAGCCAGCCACCCGGCTGGCCAGCTAGATAGTATCTGGCTGGTTGCCAGCCACACACCCGGCTGGCCAGGCAGCTGCGAAGAATTCTGTGTGTGACGTGATACGGTGCGCATCATTGTTGATATAGCACCCCTCCGCGTTGATTGCTGGGGGTTCTTCTCCCTTCCCCACGCTCACCACCTACTTACAGTTAATACACCCCCCCGCGCTAGCAATCCTGGCACAGCCAACGATCGCTTACGACCTTCCCCCCATTGCCTGCATGGTTGCTGTTGTTGTGTGGCTGCGCGGCAGGTGCTGTGCTGCAGGAGTTGCAAACGAGTTGGTACACAAACTTCACCGGCTGGCAGGCGGGGAGCGACTGCAGACAATCCCAAGGCCTCACATGCGACTCAGACGGCATGATCACCTCCATGTGCGCCCACACCGCGCCCTGCTGTGCTGTGCTGCTCCGTTCTTTGCTGTTCCGTTCTAGCTGCGATCATTGTTAACATCTACTGACTTCCCCCCCTACCACAAGTTAGCTCGAACTCGGCGTGCATGTTTCCCAGGCCCGATTCAGACTGAGCTCACTCACTCACAGCCTCCCTGTTGCCATCTCGCCCTGTGATTCTCGCTTGTAATAGCATGGACCTGCTTCTATCCTGTTATCTTGTAATCAGGACTCTTCTTGCTCTTTGTAACGCCGCCCAGATGCCCAATCGTGGCATGGCTGGCCCATCCCGCAGTACAAGCACCAGTCCCACCCGCAAACTTCCACTTCCCCCCACAAACTCCCACTTCCCCCCGCCAACTCCCACTTCCCCCCACAAGCTCCCACTTCCCCTCGCAAACTCCCACTTCCCCCCACAAACTCCCACTTCCCCCCACAAACTCCCACTTCCCCCCACAAACTCCCACTTCCCCCCACAAACTCCCACTTCCCCCCACAAACTCCCACTTCCCCCCACAAACTCCCACTTCCCCCCACAAACTCCCACTTCCCCCACAAACTCCCACTTCCCCCACAAACTCCCACTTCCCCCACAAACTCCCACTTCCCCCACAAACTCCCACTTCCCCCACAAACTCCCACTTCCCCCCACAAACTCCCACTTCCCCCCACAAACTCCCACTTCCCCCCACAAACTCCCACTTCCCCCACAAACTCCCACTTTCCCCACAAACTCCCACTTCCCCCACAAACTCCCACTTCCCCCACAAACTCCCACTTCCCCCACAAACTCCCACTTCCCCCACAAACTCCCACTTCCCCCCACAAACTCCCATTTCCCCCCACAAACTCCCACTTCCCCCCACAAACTCCCACTTCCCCCACTCAAACGCCCATTCTCTCCAAAGCCCATCCCCCGCCAACGCACATCCCCCGCCAACGCCCATTCCCCTCCAACGCCCATTCCCCGCCAACGCCCATTCCCCTCCAACGCCCATTCCCCTCCAACGCCCATCCCCCTCCTACTCTCATCCCCCTCCTACGCCCATCCCCCTCCTACGCCCATCCCCCTCCTACTCCCATCCCCCTCCTACGCCCATCCCCCTCCTACGCCCATCCCCCTTTCACGCCCATACCTTCCCTCCTGTGCGCAGGCGCTTCAACACGTTGTCCGTGGTGTCCTTCGAACCCACCTCCGTCACCCAGCTGTCGCGCCTCACCCAGCTGTACGCCCCTGCTGTACACACGGGTTGCTCATGCGTGCTCTCACGCTGCTTCTAGGCAGTCGAACGCAAAGTGATGAACGGAGATCTGTGGGGTGTGTGTGTGTTTGTGTGTGTGTGTGTGTGGGGGGGGGGGGAGGGGGTGGGTGTGTTTGTGAGCGCCTGCGCGGGCGGGAAGGGGGTGGAGAGGGGGTTGAGTTGCCAAGTGGATTCTAACATTCCCTGTCATGCCCTCTTCCCGCTTACACCTCAGCTCATACACTGCAGTTAAGGGTAGTTAGGTGTCATACGAGTGGAATCAGAACGAACGTGCTTGTTCCTCCCTCCCTGTGTCTCATTGGACCCAGCTATTGCGTGTCCGTTTGTTATTGTGCTGTTGCGCCGTGGAGAATAAAAAGGCGTCAACACAATACCTCACAACGGCGATAGCCACCATCACCATCACCATCACCATCACCATCACCATCACCATCACCATCACCATCACCATCGCCATCGCCATCGCCATCGCCATCGCCATCGCCATCGCCATCGCCATCGCCATCGCCATCACCGTCACCGTCACCGTCACCATCACCGTCACCGTCACCGTCACCATCGCCATCGCCATCGCCATCGCCACCGCCACCACCGCCACCTCCCCCTCCTTCCTCCGCCCTCACCACCACCACCCCCTCCGCCGCCGCTGCCTCCATCACCGACAGGCACTTGCTCACCTGACCGGGCTCTCTACTGTGTGTGTGACTCTGCGAATGCTTTCCTTCTTTCCCCGCATGTGCCATACACAGGGAGTTCTCACAAGTGGACCACATCCCATGGGGGTCCCTCTACAACATCACGTGGCTCGAGTCCCTGTGAGTCCCCCCTAGAGCTGTGACAGACCGACCACCTCAGTGAATCTCACTTCGCTCCTTGCTTCTTGTTACTTGCTCCGCGCTCGCTCCTTGCTACTTGAGTGCTGTTTGCACGTTGCTGCTCTGATGGGATGCCCAGTGGAGGAACACCACTCTGGTGGTGAGTGATGCTGCTCAGGCAACTGGAAACATGCCTGCAACAGGCACGGAGTTCAAATCTGCTAATGTGCCTGCTGCATCTGATGTGCCTGCTGCTTCTTATGTGCCTGCTGCATCTGATGTGCCTGCTGCATCTCTTTCTGCAGGGTGGTGGACTGCTTGCCGTACATGACAGACAGCATCCCTGACGGGATTGCAAACCTCACCCAGCTCACAAGGCTGTAAGCACGTGTGTGGGTGGGTGCCTCATCGAGCAATTTTTGGGTCGCCTAATGATTCCTCTCACCTCGAAGGCTTCTCAGAACAAAACACTCGTCTCACTTCAACCTCACCTAGCCCACTAGGCAGTACGCACCTGCGTGTGGCGTCGTGCATTGCTTGCTCGTGAGAGCGTTGTGTTGTGAGCCCCACAACCGGGCGCACACACAATTGAGAACAAACTTAGTTAGGCATGGCACGCTTATGTATGTATGGCGCAGTCATGCATGGCATGGCATGGCATGGCATGGGGAAAGTGGTGACGGCATGGTATTGCTTCACGTGCCTGCATGTCTGTATTGCAAAATGCTCCTTGTGGATATGTTGTGGTGCATGACCCGCAGGAGGATCAGCAGCTGTGGATTTGGTAATCACCTTGACAGGTTAACTCGCCTCTCCAGCCTTTTGGATCTGTGAGTC